ATTCAATTTGGTACATTACCTCCTGTTATGGCTAATAATTATTTACTTGCCAACGAATTCAAAAGTAAGGAAAATGAAGAGAAAGAAAATGAAGATAATGAGGAAGAAGAGTGTGTGCTGGAATGTGAAAAAGGCCAAACATCTTAGGAGGTATATGGTGAAGAAGAGGATGACGGCATGGTACATTGAAGAAGAAATTGACTTAGAAGCAGAGAGAAAAAGAAGAGGAGTGTCGCGTAACAATTTATTGAAGTAACTGCATCAGGAAGGTATCCGTGGGGTGGATTTGTTGGGAGAACCATATGGGCGTTCTTTTGACCATTATGTATTATATGGGATGCCCAAGAGAAATGTGACAGTGCCTCGCTCTGGGAAGTATGAGTCACCTCCGAGAATATTACCTCTCCCTACAGGTTGGATAACTGAAGAAGAACCATTAGAAGAAAGAAATGAAGAAATCCAAGAGGTAGAAACTCAATGTAAAGTATTGCAAGTGAACTTGTTACAAGGAGGTAACTCAATGAAGGATAAATAGGAAATGGAAATAGATGCAGCTGAAAATGTTATCTTTAATAGACCAATTATAAAGTTAACCAAACACTTGAGGCCATTGTACGTGAAGGCCTTAGTCAATGGTATACTTGTGGCTAAAGTGGTCATCGACGAAGGAGCAGCCATAAATACCATTCCGTCCAAAATGATGAAAGAATTTGCAAAGACAGAAAGCGATATGATCCCAACAGAAGTCATTCTAACAAGTTTCGAGGGGGAGCAACTTCAGCTAAAGAGGTGATGCCACTGGACATAACCATGGGAACAATTACTAGGAACACATTCTTCTTTGTGATAGACGATCCTACTAGTTACAACGTGCTACTAAGAAGGGATTGGATTCATGGGAGTCGTTGCATACCTTCATAGCTCCATCAATGTGTTGTTTTCTAGAATGATAAGCCATTTTCAGTAGATACACTTACTGAAATGTTTAATCAAATGAGGCCAAACATAATGGCCCTTGAAGAACCAGTAATTGTCAAAAAGATAATCAAGGAACTCTAATGAGTTGTCAGCAGCAAGAAAATATAGCTGATATTTAGGTCTTCAAAGCCAAATTAATGACTTTTAATAAGGAATGTAAAGAGAAGACAAAAGAAGAAGCAGCATTCAAGATGTTGAGAAACAAATTAGCGGTGTTCGAGTTGGAACTTAATATTGGCCAAGAAGTCAACAAGATAGATTGCTTAGAAGGGGAGGTGCCTGCAAGGAACCTAGATGATGAAGTAATGAAGATCGCAAAGTCCGGGTATGCCCAAGTACAAGACCATTTGATAAAGGTGAATATTGGCGACGAAGGGGAAGATCGCCCAATATTTGTCAGCCAGATGCTTAGTCAAGAGGTAAGTAATAAATTAATCGTTTTATTAAAGGAATATAAGGAATGTTTTGCTTGGGAATATGAACACATGCCTGGTTTAGATAAAAGTTTGGTCGAACATAGGTTACCAACTAAACCAAATTTTAAGCCTCATAAACAACCTCCTAGGCGTTTTGGCCCCAATGTATTGCCCAAGGTAAAAAAAGAAATAGAGTGACTGTTAAAAGCGGGTTTTATTAGAACAACCGATACGTTGAGTGGTTATTTCATATTGTGCCAGTGTTAAAAAAAGGGTAATATAAAGGTGTGCATAAATTTTAAAAATTTAAATTTAGTAACGCCTAAATATGAATATCCAATGCCTACGGTGGATTCTTTAGTAGATTCAATTGTCGGACATGTAATGTATTCTTTTATGGACGGATATTTAGGATATAACCAAATTTACATCGTCGAAGAAGATGTACTTAAAACTGCCTGTAGGTGCCCTAGGGCTTTATGATGCTTTGAATGGGCAGTTATGTCTTTCGGCCTGGAAAATGCAGGGACAACCTATCAAAGGGTAATGAACCTAATTTTTCATAACATGATAGGAAAATTTGTTGAAGTGTATATAGACGACATAGTGGTCAACTCTATTAAAGAGGAAGACTATTTTAAACAATTAAAACGCTCATTTGAGCGAATAAGGCAGTACAAACTAAAATTGAATCCTTTGAAATGTGCATCTGATGTTAATGCAGGAATTTCCTTGATTTTCTAGTTTACGAAAGAAGAATTGAACTCGATAAAAATAAAGTGAATGACATTTTAGAGGTCAAATCGCCTGATAATAAGAAAGAATTGCAAATGTTTATAGTCCAGTGAACTTTTTGAGATGTTTTATCTCTAATTGAGCAAGGTGAACGAAAACTTTTTCGCCTCTTTTAAAGCTGAAAAATCAGGACGAATTCGCTTGGAAAGAAAAACATCAAAAAGCTTTTGACAGCCTGAAGACATATCAAGTCAGCCAATGTTAGTATCAACTATCTAAGGACGGCCAATGAAGGTATACGTATAAGTTGAATTTATTGTTTTCTTTAGTTCAACGAACCAAACCCCCATTCCCATCCATTTAATCAATTTCGTATATGACTGTTAATTTCACTTTCTTGTGTGCAATTAATTAAATTGAACCAATCATCTACGGGAAATGACCATTACTTGTCATATTACTATTTAAGACGACACGTTTAAGCTAAGTAAGGAAAATTAATTGGTACATAATTTGGAACGTATCACAAATCCCTACAATTAAGCTGTTTGACATACAAAAATGAGACCCAATTAAATTGTTTAAAGAATGAAGCTCAGTTAGGAGATTCGAAGGATGGACCCCAATGAGACCATATGAAAACCCAAGACGGAGTTATGTAATTGAGGCTCATCATCGCTCAAACCTACGAGACGCCCAAGATCTGGGTGAGCCCATCATCTCTCAAGCCTGTGAGACGCCCAAAATCTGGGCGAATATAGTGTCTTGATTGCTATTCAAAGCAACGGTTATGGAAGCAGTTAATGTGTAATCTTATCATATTTCACGATCCAAGAATCTCAGTTGCAAGAAGTTAAGCGATGGGAGTAATGGCAGCGGTTGAAAACAGTAGTTTCTTGACAAGTCATCCATTATTGAGAAAGTGGGTAGTTATAGGACGATTGACAATTTTCAAACGGTTTTACAAGAGAAACTATCAAATGAGTATAAAAGAGAATAAGAATTTGGAAGAGGGAACGAATCAAACGACTCTCAAACAGAGAACTATGTAATTTTAATTCCTTTCTTCTTGTTAACTTCAATTAGTTTACGAATTCAGTGTGCTTGTTCCACTTGGAGGCATTTCGATTCGTCCATATTGTAATCTTCATAAATAAAACACCTCTCGTTGAGACTTTGTTTCGAGAGATTGTTGTTTCTTATACAATCGTCTGAATCTTCATTTAATTGTTAGCGAGACTCGATTTCCACACGAAACATAAGACTATAATTTATTTACACATTCTAAACAATTTATAAATTACACCGTATATAAATTCTTCCACAACGGGTAGAACGTGCGTTGCCATATTTGAAATAAAAATACGAACATAGATACGGTCAGAAAGCAGGAATCGGCGAATCGCCTTCAAACGCGATTGTCTCATTCTAGAGACACCCAAATTACACGTCACCATGAGAAAAGTATGCCCAATCACTTCAGCTTATAAAATTCATACCAAACACAAGCCACCGGGTGACTTTCTTCAAACTTCCACGCACAAAATTCATTAGTTATATTATGCCCATGTTTGATTTCCGTAAAACTCAAATTTGTACTAACTTTTAATAAAAAATTGATAAAATATATGATTAAAAGTTGATAAAAATTATAAATTTTGAGTTAAAAATCATATTGGAAAAATTAAATTTTAGAAAATGAAAATCAAACGAGAGAGCGATAATAATAATAATAATAATAATAATAATAATAATAATAATAATAATAGGCACATCCAAAAGTAATTATAACAATTAAGAGGATAAATTTGGAGGTGCCAAATTGCCTACATTCATGCTTGATTCAGCTCCTTGTAACTTTGAATATCTGTATAAGAACATACTTCGTACCTAATTAAGATAGTCTTTCAAATCTAACGATTGACCTAACTTGTGAACATGCTAACATTATAGATTAGACCAATCAAATCCTTTATTTTCAATTTTAAGAATTTACTAATTTATAATTTAAGAAATAATATAGTAGAGATGGAAGATTGTGTGAAATAATCAGGATCGATTTTAATGGAGTCTCGTTATTAGAACATCTTCAATTGTGCTCTAAATTAGATATAAATTTTGATTTAGATTTTCAAAGGTTGAAAATTTCTTCAATGGAGAGATGTAAATATAAAATGCATTTTCAGACATAAAATGTACAAAAAGATATCTACTTGTGTGACCCATAAGAGACAAAAAGTTAGGGATGACAATGGGGCAAGGTAGGGGAAGATCGGGGCAACCTCCCCCTTCCCGCGCGGCCGCCCCCCGTCCCCGCCCCGTTACCCGTTTAACGCGGGGTGGGGCGAGGCAAGGTTCTTGCCTCGTTTAATTTTTTTTTTTTAAGTTTTTGATAATTTTTTATTACCCTCATTTATTAGATTGAGACAAATAATTTTAATTGCCATTTTTTATTAAAACTAATAAAATTTCGTAAAAGTTTCCATTTAAAGTATTGAATTTAAAAAAAAAATTTAAAAATTAAATGGGGCTGGGACATCCGTTACTCGTCCCTGACCCAAACACCCGATTAAGCGGGTAATCCTCATCCCATTCGAGATTTGGGCCCGCGGGCATCAGATTTGTTATGTTATTATCCCTTAAATTAGTGTGTCATAAAGTTAAACTAGCGTTCTTGAAAACATTTGATTATTCTACTTCTAGAAATAAATAAGGTTGTTTTTGAAGTCACCATTGTCCGTCGCATTCCTTAACAAATATTTTCTTTTTCTCCACCAAATTCATAACCTTGACTGGATTGCCCCATGATTATATATATAGAGAGAAAAGATATTGTTTCGTATAAATATTACAATATTCTTTATGGGTTCAATGGAGATGGAGCCTAGTACAGAAACTGTCAGAGAAGAAGAAAATAGAAAAGCAGAGATTGTTTTGAATGAAAACAAGCTAAGAACAAAGAATGTGAAGAATATGACAAGGAAGAAGAAGAGCAGGAGGTTTCATTTTATTCCGAAGTTAGGTTGTATGAGACTGAATGACGAGTTTCCGGCGGTGAAGGAAAAACCCGACGGTGACGGAGGTTTTGACGTCGAAGCCGGTTGTAATCAAAAGAATCACCTGATTGTTATGGTCAATGGAATCATTGGCAGGTTAATTTATGTTGCTGATTGTAATAATGCCTGAATCTGGATTATGAATTGATGAACATTCTGATTTTTGGAGTATTTTACAATATTTTGATGTAATTATAATTTACTAAGTATTGTTTTACCTTACCTGTGTGCAGTGCTCAAAATTGGAGATATGCCGCCAAACAATTTGTCA